AAGACATGACTCTTCCTTATCGTTTCTCTTCGGTCAGAAACCACTCGCTTCTACTTAGGACTTCTCATCTCTGCATACCTAGATCAGCTCTCGGTTGTTTCTCTCCCAAGGAATCTCCTTTCTTCAAGAAGAACACTGTCCAATTCCTTCCTCCTCAGAAACAACACACTTCTCTTCCTCTCAAACTCGCCTCTCCTCTTGCTAGCTTCTCTTCTTATGCAGATTCTGAGGGAAACGAGCAACACCATGGCGATCAACAGATACAGAATTCTCCTGAATCTTCTTCTACCGATTCGACCGGATCAGATGGAAAAGATAATGCAGAAGCTACTGGTGACTTCTCTGGAATGGCTCAAGCCTTTCACATTTCATCTAACACAGCGAGGGCAATCTCCATACTTATCGCCTGCTCTGCTCTCTCCTTTCCTCTCATCATGAAGTCTCTGGGACAAGGACTGGCTCTCAAGACAAAGCTCCTCTCTTACGCAACACTACTCTTTGGTTTCTACATGGCTTGGAACATAGGAGCTAACGATGTCGCCAATGCTATGGGGACCTCTGTTGGATCCGGAGCCTTGACGATCCGACAAGCTGTGATGACAGCTGCAGTTCTTGAATTCTCAGGTGCTCTTTTGATGGGAACTCACGTGACTAGCACGATGCAGAAAGGGATTATCATGGCTAATGTGTTCCAAGGGAAAGATATGTTGCTCTTTGCTGGTCTTCTCTCTTCACTAGCTGCAGCTGGAACTTGGTTACAGGTTACATCTTTCACTTTTTGCTTCTCCCTCACTAGTTTCAACAGAAGATTTAGTAAAGTTGATAGGATGGCAATCACAAGTAGAGAACCTAATTGAACGATTGTGTAATTGTGAATTTCACAGGTGGCTTCTTACTATGGATGGCCTGTATCGACAACTCACTGTATCGTCGGATCAATGGTTGGGTTTGGTCTTGTCTATGGAGGAGCTGGTGCTGTATTTTGGAGTTCTCTAGCCAAAGTAGCTTCCTCTTGGGTTATCTCTCCTCTAATGGGAGCTCTTGTCTCCTTTCTTGTCTACAAATGCATCAGAAGAGTAAGTTAAACTAACTTTCGATTCTCAATTACTCCAATTCATGATGCTCAAGCTTGTGTGTTACCTTTGTTCGTTTCTTCTATGCAGTTTGTTTACAGCGCACCAAACCCGGGACAAGCGGCGGCTGCAGCAGCTCCTGTCGCTGTGTTCGTAGGTGTAGCGAGCATTTCCTCAGCCGCATTTCCTCTGAGTAAAATATTTCCAATAGGTTTATCACAGGCCTTAGCCTGTGGAGCAGTAGGAGCCATAATCTTTGACAGAATCATCAGAAATAAGCTCGGTCACCTTCTCGCCAAATCGAAATCACAAGAAACAACTCAAGACCAGCCCAAAAGCATTGGTTTCCTCTCGGATATCGCAGGTCCTACAGGTACTCAGTTAGAGATAGTCTACGGAGTATTCGGCTATATGCAAGTACTCTCCGCTTGCTTTATGTCATTCGCTCACGGAGGTAACGATGTCTCAAATGCAATCGGACCATTAGCCGCCGCATTAAGCATCCTACAAGGCGGAGCAGCTGCAGGAGGTGGAGATATTGTGATTCCTATGGATGTTCTTGCTTGGGGAGGATTCGGAATCGTTGCTGGTTTAACAATGTGGGGATACAGAGTGATTGCAACGATTGGGAAGAAGATTACTGAGTTAACACCGACGAGAGGATTCGCGGCGGAATTCGCTGCTGCGACGGTGGTTTTGTTTGCTTCGAAATTAGGTCTTCCGATATCGGCGACTCATACACTTGTTGGAGCTGTGATGGGTGTTGGGTTTGCGAGAGGGCTTAATAGTGTTAGAGCAGAGACGGTTAGAGAGATCGTTGCTTCGTGGCTTGTCACTATTCCTGTTGGTGCTACACTCGCTGTTCTCTACACTTGGATTTTCACCAAGATCTTATCTTTTGTGTTGTGAGTTTCTGCTTTTTTTTTTGGTTTTGTGATACGAAGAACATGAAATTGA